CGCTGACTCGTTTGAAGCGGCTTGGCTCCCATGTAACGTACTCACGCAAGTACAAGTAGTAAAGGTTGAACCTCAAACGATAGTCAGCACAAACGCACAAAAAGAACAAATAGTTTATCGCGAACGGCGAAACCAAAAAAATGAAATCAAACAAATAAAACAAAGGAACGGCGGCAGATTGCCGCAATACACACAACCAAAAAAAGGTCACTCCTAATGGCAGTGGCGACCCTTAAGTAGTCTTATTTCGTTAGTCTCAGAGGTCTTTTAGTCTCAGAGGTCAAAAAAACCAGATCAAATCGATTAGGGCCTATCGCCTACACACTATTCTTGCAAGGCCCGCCCCTAGTGGGCGGAGCCTACCTCAAATCACGTGTACCCGAGGAGTTTGGCTCATTTTCCACTTGTTCATCCCCAGTCCCCACTTGTTCCAACCTGTCTGAGCTGTTCCACGTGTTTCGACGCCCTAGATTCAGTGATAGTGATAAGATACATACAAACATACAAACATACAGAAAAACGGACATTTGTGGTTTATATATAGTAAGGATAAGGATAAGGATAAGGATTGGGAATCCCAGTTCATTGGCGGTCAGATGAGTTTCGTCACAAATGGTATCGAAACAAAAGGAAACCGTGATATTTTATTGGGTTGAAAATCTTGCTGGGTGACGGACGTAATCTCATAGCAAGAAATGAACCAAATTCACATTTCTTGCTGTGGAGAAATGTCTTTGTTCGGCCCTATCACTGCAGTTATTCAATTGGTAAGTGGCTCTTGCTCTCTAACCAGGGAAGGACCCCAACTCGAAGTGGCCATTTGAAATAAGAACTATACTGCTAGACGTGTTTTTGGGCGCTGAATTCAAATCCGCTTTCCAAATCTGCCAAGCGAATATCTGAACGGAGTTATGACGGTGGTTTCAGGTGACATCACATGAGAAAACTTAAATTACATGGAAGCAGCTCGCAACTCAACGGCTTCTTGGTGTAGTCCGCATGGGCGAGAGGCTAGGGTTCGGGTTTTGTGGGGGACCTGAGTTTTTGCATTATATAGAATTTTCCCCTCTAGGACTAGGAAATACTTTCATGGTGATTTTGTCACGTTTTATGACCTTTTCATGCTCCGCTGAAACCTTCTCTTACCTACCTACCTGTTACCGAGTGGGAAATTGCGCAAAATTTGGAGGT